TATGATAATCCCTGGCAAAGCAACCACAAAACATTCTGGATAGATATTCAATTTGTGCATGTCCGCTTATTTTATGTATGTGTTTATATGTCTCTATTTATTCCATACATCAAGATATTCACATCCAGTCTTTTCTAGTAGTTAAAGCAACTTCCTGACTACAAACATGTCAAGTTTCAAAGCTCTCAGAGCTTGTGTGATTGATCTGCACTAGTTTATATGCCTTAACTCCCATACGGACAGACTATATTTTAGTCCTTTTTTGGTTTGGGGGTGTATAACAATATCTGTTAATTTAACACAATTTTAGCAGTAAAACATTTTGAGCCAAGAATCCATTTCATATATAGGAGACCTTAGAGATGAGATGGGTTTAGTTCTACCTCCGGTAGGGGTATCTCAAAAATTCAGGGGCATTGTCACTAGCCTATAAGAGCCCTCGTGTACCAGTTTCATGCATGGTCATGGTAGCAAATGCCACCAACTTCACCGTTCTCAGCTCCAGTTGTTCCAGTGAGCTTGTCCCAGGCAGACGAGCCCCAAGATGCTTGGGGTGAACACTCACCTACCATTCAAGATAACAGAACATTCATTAGCACATGCAAGAAACACATACACTGCCAATGAATAACACTAGGAAATGTACAATTTTCCGTATAGTCCATTAGAGGACACAATATCTGAACCGAGACCCTCAAGTACCCACCAGGCAAGAAACACAGAGTAAGTCATTTGTTTTTATAGAAAAAAAGATTGATCTCAATTATGGCCAGAAGTGTAACTTTTTGAGATTACATTTTAGATCATATCTCTGTGGCCGACTACATTAACTGCTTAGATTAGTCTTAAAGGGATACTCCACTTTTTTTAGGAAATAGGCTCATTTTACAACTCCCCCAGAGTTAAACTGTTGAGTTTTACCGGTTTTGAATCCATTCAGCCGATCTCCGGTTCTGGCGGTACCACTTTTAGCATAGCTTAGCATACATCATTGAAGTGGACAAGACCATTAGCATTTCTAAAAAAAAAAATGACCAAAGAGTTTCGATATTTTTCCTATTTAAAACTTGACTCTTCTGTAGTTACATCGTGCACTAAGACCGACGGAAAATGTAAAGTTGCGATTTTCTAGGCTGATATGGCTAGGAACTATACTCTCATTCCTGCGTAATAATCAAGAAACTTTACTGCCGTACCATGAGAGCAGCAGGCGTAATGATATGACGCAGCGCCTGAAAATAGTTCCGTTGTGTTGACGGAAGGTAGCCTATTTAAAAGTTTGTCATCTAGTTATTTTCTTCAAGACTAATTCCTAATTTATTAAAGTCAGTTACATAAAGAGGTAGACTGGTGTGGTTGGAATTGGAAAAATAAGACTAATTACCCCTTGGTTAACTGCAGTTATAAAATAACATTCCAATTAATTTGCAGAATACAGCGTCTTCTTGACATACACAACATGAACCAGCTACAGTGTTTGAGGGCGGAAAACATAAAACATAGGTGGGCGTTAGGCAAATGTGTTATCCAGTGACATGTAGCCGTCACGGAAGTAAGATTCGAATTCCTGACGACCCGTTTAGGCGTTTCAGAGTCGATTCTTTCTTTTGAGAAACAATAACTTTATTTATCGCGTGCTCTTTCGTCTTCATAACTTTGCAGAAAGCTGCATTACACATTGCATCAAAGGGAATATTCGAAAAAGCATTATAGGGGCACTTTAAATATGGTCTGGAAAAGTATGGAATTTTGAAATGGAAAATGTGTAGGAACCCTGTTAAGAGTTTTTTGTGCTTCTGAATCTGGTGTGAGACGATGGAGTCGCATCTCTGATCAATGTACACGTACGTTAAATTGAAGTTCTAAATTTGTAATATTATAAATGTTTAAGTTTAATATACTCTCCCAGAATAACCTACAGTATTGCAGCTATTGAGAGGGCAATTCTGGAGACTCTAAATGAACTGGACATGAAGATCAATCACCTGACTTCAGTGGTCCAGTCCCTTGCAGGTAACAGCCGTTCCAATGCTGGTGGTGGACAGTGAGGATGATGGCTTTCCTCTCACATCCATGGAAGAACTAGATAATCTGGAAAGACGATTATCTGAAAGAGGGATGATGCAAAAGATGGTAAGAATCATTGCCATTGGTAGGTTTAAAGGAGAACTCCGGCGCAAAATGAACCTTTGGTCTAATTACACATTGTTACCTAGTCAACCGTTATCTGAGATTTGTTTTCATGATTATCGAATGTAAATAGTTTTATCTCTACAAACAGTTTAGCCTATAAAGCTAGTATAACGCTAGTATATTGGGCATAGTGTAATGACAAATAAAAATCGCTTGTTAATACCACTAACAAGGCTCAAAATAGCCCCACACTAACACGGTAGCATAATGAGGGTCCCTACCTTCAAACCGAAGCATTGAGAACTTTGTCAGTGTCCAGACAGTTTAATAAGAAGATATTTTAAACATACAGTCAACTTCGCGTATACAGGCAGGAGCCATCTTTGAAATACAGTCTTTACCAGTCGATCTACGAACGCCGATCCAAGCCTGCTGTTCGCGCTCACCTTATCACAACTTATAGCTCGTTCACATTCTCACCAGCGCACTTGGATCGGCGTTCGTAGATCGACTGGTAAAGGCTGTATTTCAAAGATGGCTCCTGCCTGTATACGCGAAGTTGACTGTATGTTTAAAATATCTTCTTATTAAACTGTCTGTACACTTACAAAGTTCTCAATGCTTCGGTTTGAAGGTAGGGACCCTCATTATGCTACCGTGTTAGCGTGGGTCTATTTTCAGCCTTGTTAGTGGTATTAACAAGCGATTTTTATTTGTCATTACACTATGCCCAATATACTAGCGTTATACTAGCTTTATAGGCTAAACTGTTTTTAGAGATAAAACTATTTACATTCGATAATCATGAAAACAAATCTCAGATAACGGTTGACTAGGTAACAATGTGTAATTAGACCAAAGGTTCATTTTGCGCCGGAGTTCTCCTTTAACAATTGTAATTTGTAAAGTAAATTGTGTCCAGTATATATATATTTTTTTGTTTGTAATGGTTTGATATTACCTTTTATTTTTAAAGGTGAACAGATTATCCATCAGTGGAGGACACACCCTGAAAAAAACCAATATGGAGAAACTGTTCCAAGGTCTTTGGTCCTGTAGCCAAACAAGGTGGAAGGGGAGAAAAGCGAGGGATAAGGAAAACAAATATAGGAGCACTCTTAATAGGCAAGTCCAAAATGTCTTACAAATATATATATATATATATATTTATATACACACACACACACACACACACACACACACACAAACACACACACACACACACACACACATATAGCAGCCATATGCTGTTTAAACGATGTAAAATGTTGTTTTACAGACTGGAATCCTGTACTTCCGTCGCCTACAGAAGCAGAGGCAGAAAAGCACGTCAAGGATTATCTCCGCTTGGCTCCAGGGAGAATGCCCTCTTAAAGCCGCTTAATTGTGTTCTTTTTTATCCATTTTGTTTGATCATTTTAAATAATATATATATAGCTATAAATTAAAGGTTATTTTCATTCACTGATAATAAAAACATTCAAATCATAGATGACTGTTGTGCGCTTCATTCTGAGTGAAAAACACTTGGGTTTAGTTATCATACTTATCACTTATCGTAGACACATACATAATTAGTGTATCTGTAGTTTTTTATCAAATGTGAGGGAACGTGTGGTGGCAATTTTAATGATATTCATTGATCTTTAGTTAAATATAGATGATTCAAAGAATGTCACATGTGTGTCTCTCACTTGTAGTGAGAGAGGATTCTGTTTATGTACCTGGGGAGGCAGAAGAGGGAGACACTCCAGAGAACAGACGAACAAGGACCTCTGACCTAGATGTCAGAAGGCCACTTAGTGCAGGGGAGCTTAGTGGGCCAACTAGTGACGTCTATGGAAAACTACTGGGAGGAAGGCTCTGGGGGGAAGAAGGCCTTGAAACTAAGATAAAAGCTAGTTCAGTCTGTCTGGGGGTGTGTCACTCTTCTGCACAGGGTAACAACTGTGTATAAGACTGCTCCTATTCTTGCAAGAATAAATACTTCTATTTTATATAATTTGACTCTGAGTGTCTCTTACGCAGTGATGTTTGTTTGAGATGAATTTTTGCCACAACAAACGTCTAACATGTCTAATTAAAAACGACATCTATGCTACATAAATCAGATGTCTAACAGACATAAGATTATAATCGTTAACATCTCTAATACGTCCAATGGATGTCATTTGAACGCCTGACAAGGACGTCTATGCGACGTATTCCAGATGAGCAAACGCCCTTAGAATTACGTCTTCCAGATGAAAACGCGCACATCAAACAGACGTCTCTGAGACGTACGTGTGCTATCTGGGACATTAGATCGTCATCATATGTTTATAACTTATTACTCTGTTTTTACATTTATTTCTAAAAAGTTACTAGTATTTCTATGTTAGTACTTTTTGTAGGTACTATGGAAAATATACTATTCCAATAGTGACAAATGTAGTTTTGAATCAGTAAATAATCCTTAGATACTGTATTTGTTTATAAACTGGACAAATCTCCACTGGACATAACAACTGATATATCTTTAGTTTCAATGCTATAGAATTGTTAAAATCATACTAGTAGCAACTGTTATGGACACTATAGTGTCTAATGAATAGGTACTAGCTATGAATAAGTCCTAGTCACTCTTAGAACACAGCCTAGTTGGAAGTGGTTTTAGGTTTTAGGTGTTTTTAGCAGGGTGTTGTCATATATGATCATACATGATGTCCCTTTTTCACTTACTTTTTGTCGTAAATATCGAGTTGACTGATCAGTGAGGATAGATCGCCATCTGTGTGACACTCGCTACACTGCACCCAGTGGTCGGTCGGTGTGTTTATAAGCTGCTGCTGCTGTGAGTTTGGCTACATTGTAGCCTAACTCTACATGCTGTAGTGAAGTCCAGTTGAGCTGTCACAACGCAGACCTGAAGATGGCTACAGCAAGAAACAGGGTTTTTGTTATCGGGGTGGGAATGACCAAGGTAAACACATCTGATTGGCCTTATATTAGCGATCTGTTATTGTCTGGTTTAATGCAGCCTAGACTGCTCTTACTGTTTGATCATCATACTGTGGTAAAGTTACAGGCAAATCCTGAGTTTTATAAAATAAAAAGTATAAAGGTATTTGATATCTGTTTTCGCCGAATATCACGTTTGATTAAACTATTACACTAATTTAGAGTTAGCATAGTGTTTGGTTAGTAGCTGTACAGTAACTAGCCTTATTGCTAAAGGCATATTACATAGTGTGGAGGTTTAGTGTTCAAAATAAGCGTTTTATCTCCATTAAAAAAGAGTTAACGCTATGCAAAGTTTCTTATCATAGATTCACTGTGCGCGTGTGTGACTCTGATCTTTGTTGAGTAACTTGCACTAGTACACAGTGTCCTTTAGACTTTCACAGAAACGCAAAGTGGATAATCTGTAACCCTGAATTGTGTCATCACGTGAAAGCTCCAAGCTCAGCTCAACCTCAACGTTACATTACGGTCGTTGTATCAAAGTAACATTGTTAGAATAAATATGATTATTATTATTGCGGCCCCTAGTGACGCGGAAGTATGATTTCAGTGGTGGTACTTTCTTTGTTGTTTTTTATTTTTTACATAAACATTATTTGTATATCACATCCCTTCATAAATAATATAAGTTTAATATAATAATATTAGCCTAATATATAATATATTTTTAATAATAAGTATAATACGTTTTATTGGGTTTTATTTGTCCCAATAAATCTAATTAACAGAATATGCACTATTAAAATTCCAGGCAACTATTTAAACTACATAGCTTCAAAGTGTCATATTTCAAAGATACTTTTGTCCTGTTTTTCAGTTTGAAAAGCCGGGTGCGAGAGACATCGATTACCCAGACATGGCCAAAGAAGCAGGTGCAGTTGATGAAGCTCAACTGTTACTGTAGAAATATGAATTACTGTAGAAATATGAATGTTTTGTTCTTGAATCATTTCTGTTGTGGCACAGGGGAGAGAGCGCTGACGGATGCTGGAATAAACTACACTGCCATCCAGCAAGCATGTGTAGGCTACGTGTACGGTACGTCATTCTTAAGTCAGCAATAGATATTGTATATTTCTATAACATGTCAACATTGTTATAATAGGGATAGTTCACCCAAAATTCTGTCATTAATTACTCACCCTCATGTTGCTCCAAACCCGTAAGACTTTCGTTCATTTTCGGAACACAAATAAAGATCTTTTTGATGAAATCCACAGACAGCTACGCCACTTTGACACTTCAAAAAGTTCATAAAGAGATCGTAAAACTAATCCATATGAATTGAGTGGTTTAGTTTGTCCAAAAGTTTCTGAAGTGACTCAATCACTTTATGAACAGATTTAATTTAAGCTTTTATTTACATATAAACATTGATCAGCGAACATAAACAGAAGCTCAACCGAACCTGCGTAATGCGCGAGAACAAACCACAGTGGTTCAAATATGCTACGTAACACGAGAATGAACCTCATTGGTTCTTGCAGAAGCTCAAACGTGCTGCGTAACACGAGAATGAACCTCATTGGTTCTTGATGAAGCTCAAACATGCTGCGTAACACAAGAATGAACCTCATTGGTTCTTGCTGAAGCTCAAACGTGCTGCGTAACACGAGAATAAATCTCATTGGTTCTTGCAGAAGCTCAAACGTGCTGCGTAACACAAGAATAAACCTCATTGGTTCTTGCTGAAGCTCAAACGTGCTGCGTAACACGAGAATGAACCTCATTGGTTCTTGCAGAAGCTCAAACGTGCTGCGTAACACGAGAATGAACCTCATTGGTTCTTGCAGAAGCTCAAACGTGCTGCGTAACACGAGAATGAACCTCATTGGTTCTTGCACATCAAGCAAAGATGCTTGAGCTTCTGTTTATCACAACTGATGTGTGTGTGTGTGTGTGTGTGTGTGTGTGTGTTGTTGATGAATGTTTATATGTATAAAAGCTTAAAGGGGTCATATAATGCCATTTTTTGTACAAGCTAGTATGATTCTTTAGGGTCTAAATTAAAAGTTTGTAATATACTTTAATTAAAAATTCTCATTAGTATTGTAAGAAAACACTTATTTTACTTGGTCAAAAACAGCTCTGTTTTCAGCACGCCGTTTCAGTGCATATGACTTTAAATGATAATGAGCTTCGCTCACTCCGCCTCTCATGTCCGTACACCGTTTGTAACACAATAACACAATAACCATAACGCGTTGTTCAGTATAAACGTGGGATTATGAATTATATTGAGAACATCATACATAGAAAACATGCCGTAATGTACCCTGAGTGTAAACCTTATACCATTCATTGTGAAGCGTGCAGCTTTGCAAAGATTAATATAAATATGAATATAAAGTTTAATAAAACGTTACACTCACTTCAGTTCTTCTGGAGGTTCAGCAGGAACACGAATAGCTGGTACCGATCCTTTTTCCATGAGCAGCTTCTTAGCAAAACCAGCTTTATACCCTCCTTTATAAAGCAGTCTGGTGAGAAATGATTCGCGCAAACATGAAAGCATTGACGTTGCTCGTGGGGAATATTCCCTTCGAAAACAAAACTCAGCCACTGCGTCTTCAGCGGTTCGGATTTAGGAACATTAAAATGACTGCTGTGTTCGTTATTACACCCAAGAACAGAACACCACAATCGCTTAGACGCCATTCTGCTCATAGACAGTGCTCCAGCATATCAACAATGACCGCGCCGGTCCGCGCAGACTATGATTGACAGCTCGCTCACGAGCGAGGGCGGGTCTGTGTTGAAACGTTGCTGTCAATCAACAATCATGGGAGGGGCTTCCGACCGTGTGACGTCACACGGTCGAACGGCTTGATTTGAGGCAGGGGAAAACATATATAAGGAGATTAAAACAAAAACACTGGATGGATTTTTATCATTATATGATGGTTGTGTACAGGCACTGCCAACATACATTTCAGTACAATCAATTTGTAAAAGTGCATGTACCATTATATGACCCCTTTAAATGAAATCGTTCATCTTATAAAGTGATCATGTCTTGGACTAAATTTGGACTAAAACACTCAATTCATGTGGATTAGTTTTATGATCGCTTTATGAAATTTTTTAAGCGTCAAAGTGGTAGTTGTGTAGCTGTCAATGGAGGGACAGAAATTAGTCAGTCTTAATTTGTGTTCCGAAGATGAACGAAAGTCTTATGGGTTTGGAATGACATGAGGGTGAGTAAATAATGACAGAATTTTCATTTTTGGGTGAACTAACTTTTCAATGCCTTACACGTTATCTGATATCAGTGTTGGATTAATGTGTGTTTTTCTGTATTTCTCCAGGTGACTCGACATGTGGCCAAAGGGCTATTTATCACAGTCTGGGTCTGTCAGGGATCCCAATAATTAATGTTAACAATAACTGCTCTACCGGCTCCACAGCGCTGTTTATGGCCCGTCAGCTCGTTCAGGGAGGTGAGATGTTCATCATAGTGCCTGCTTATACTGTACTATACTATGAGTTTAGTAATTTTTTTGATTATAAATGAAATTTCATGGTTGATAATGTCAATTTTGATACCACAGTAAATGCTATGATATTAAACATACACTTTTTTTTAATAGTGATATTTTTGAATCACTGTTTCTATTTCAATAGACTTCCAGCCAAAAGTTTGGAATATTAAACATTTTCTAAATGTTTTTGAAAGAGGTCTCTTATGCTCATCAAGACTGCATTTATCTGATCAATTGATCAACAAAAACTATTGCACTCAGGTTTGGCTGATTGTGTTCTTGCCTTGGGCTTTGAGAAGATGGAAAGAGGCTCACTATCCTCAAAGGTACAGTACGGCTCACAGCTCTTTTATAATACCAGTGATGAAGCGTCTCACATCATCTCATGGGTTTGCAGTACATGGACAGAACCAACCCTATGGACAAGCACATGGAGGTGATGATCAACCGTTATGGGATGGCGGCAGCACCAGCTGCACCTCAGATGTTCGGCAACGCTGGTAGAGAACACATGGAGAAGTACGGTACGATGTGGGCGATACTGTATGTGGACTTTAGATTGATCCAGGAAACTGCAGTCTGGTTCCTTTTGTAACAGAAGCTGTCTGTCATTCTCCAGGCACAAAACCAGAGCATTTTGCTAAAATTGCTTGGAAGAACCACAAGCATTCAACCAATAATCCGTACGTTTGAACGACAGCTTGTTATAAAGAAAATACCTGTTTATTTGTATGCAATAATTCCTTACCTTATCCCAGATAACAAAAGACTTCTGTTCTCTTTCTTCTCCTCCACATTCACTCTCAGATACTCTCAGTTTCGGGATGAATATAGTCTGGAGCAGGTCATTAACTCCAGGAAGGTCTTTGAGTTCCTCACACTCTTGCAGTGTTGGTAAGTTGAGAGCCGTGGCGATTGAGGATGTTGCCATAGTTTGAATATCCACAAAAGCAAGGCGATAATCAGTATTCAAAGTTAAGCTCAATATAGACTTGTAGCATTTAAGTATTTACCACAAACATAATTTCTACTGTTTGTCTTTTCTTTGAAAAAGCAAAAATCTGGGTAACAGTGAAGCACTTCAATGAAAGGGAGTCTAAAAGCTTTAAAATGCATGCTGCTGTTTCAACAGTTTAGCCACAAGACATATACAGTCTGTGTGTTTATTAGTGTTTTTTATTGAAGGTATAAAGTTCCAGATTTAATTAGTTAGTTTGATCTTTCCTACTGTTCAGTGACTGTCTATCCTTTGGCACATGGGAGATTAATGTGCCATTAAAATTGAGTTAAAAGTTGATTTGCTTCTCCAATTGGTTGATCGGTTTTGCATCTGGCATTTTGACAACAAGCAAATGCTTTTTTAGAAAACAATTTAAAATGTGCTATGTAAGGTACTATATTCTTGTTTTGCATTTGAAATTTTATTCTATTTATTTATTGCTTCTACATATTAAAATGACTATAATTTAACTAAATATTTCTCTTTTTCAGTTTATAATGATTTAATTGATGATTTTATTTATCTACATTTTAAAATATGAATTGAATACATTTTTGAATATATCTGTTTTTTCCTTTTAAAAATTATTAAATAATTATTAAATTGATAACTTATTCCTTATTCCATTTCATTCAAGCGTCACTCCTCCATACAAATTTAGCCTTTTTTTCTGTAGTAATCTATATAATGCCTCAGATGCTGTTGGTTGAGCTTAATATATGTACTGAACAATGTTTTTTTTAAAGCTTGTAAATCCTTTCCATGGCGGTAATTATTTTGACTCATAAATGTTATTATTTTACATGTCAAAAAGTATTTTGATTGTATTACTACATACAGTAACTTGTTACAAATGGTGGGTCCATCATCCTGTTCAACAGAAGCAGATGTTTATATCGCCTCTTATTTTCCCGTAGCCCGACGTCAGACGGAGCAGGAGCTGCAGTGCTGGCCAGTGAGAGGTTTGTGAGGAGGAACGGACTGGAGAAAAAGGCTGTAGAGATCATCGCTCAGGAAATGATCACAGACCTCACCACTTCCTTTGAGGAAAACAGCTGTATAAAAATGGTAAGAGTAGCTGATACTGGCATCTTGTTGACGTCACATGAAAACGTCTAGGTTACTAATGTAACCCCTGTTCCCTGAAGGAGGGAACGGAGACGCTACGTCAGAAGTAAACTGATGAATTGGGATCTCGCCTGAGAGCCCAATCACTTTTGAGCGATAACAAAACACGATCGCTGCAAACCAATTTTGGGGTTCAACGCATTCAAATATGCGTTTCCGCGAAACCATCCATCTTGAACGGGAGCTTGTGCAGTAACCTTTCGCCTTTCTTGGGTACGATGAAGTAATGATGGCTGTAAAACCCTTACCTCATGTTGGCTGGCGGGACCGGCTCTATCGGGTCATTTGCTTGTAGGACTGTGATCTCCACACGAAGGACAGGGATATCTTTGTCCACCACTGAGGTGAAGCGTACGCCAGTCTGATTGTCCGAGTGAGCCAGCGAGACCTGCTGAGGAGCTCTAGCCAGGCCCCCAGACAGGGCGCAAATGGGACCCTGTGTATTAACCGAAGTAGCTCTGCTGGGATATAGCAGAGGGCACTCCACCTCTTTCGAGGTACTCGAGTCTCGATCTCAGCATCACGATGGTCATCTTCCCACAGTGGGTACATGACTCATCCAGGAACGCCACCTCAGCGTGCTTACGGCCCAGACACCTGAGCCAGCGATCGTGACTGGTCTCACTCTGCAAGTTCATTGGCTTCTTTTGTTACCATTTAAAGGTGATTTGGGCTCTCTGACGTAACGTTGAACGTGAGACAACTATGAGTTGTCTTATCTCTAATGTAATGTGTTTTTCTCCCTCTGTCCACTATAGGTTGGCTATGACATGACCCAGCTTGCAGCTCAGAAGTGCTTTGAGACGTCCGGCCTGAAGGCGTCAGATGTTGATGTCATCGAGCTGCATGACTGCTTCTCTGCCAATGAGCTCATCACCTATGAAGCTCTGGGACTGTGTCCAGAGGGTGAGATGGACGGCTTCACAAGCACACTTTTCTTGCACGTATTTTTAAAAGCAGAAGTTTAGATTAGCAGCGTGTTTGTGATTTGTAGGTAAAGCTGGTGAGCTTATTGATCGGGGTGATAATACATACGGTGGCAAGTGGGTGATAAACCCCAGTGGAGGACTCATCTCAAAAGGACACCCGCTTGGAGCTACAGGTAGGGTTTACCAAACACACCTGATGCCATTAAAGGAATATTCACACAAAAATGTACAATTAGACATCATTTGACTTACCATCATGTCACTCCAGATCTGTTTAAATTGGATTCTGCTGTGAAACACAAAAGGAGAAGTTTAGCAGAGTGTTCATGCTAGGGCTGGACAATTAATCGAATTTCTAATCGCGATTACGATTACGATTACGGATGCCACAAGTTACAAAAAAAAAGTCCACTTTCATTATTCTGCGTGCTTAAGAGCTGTTTAGAGCATGTTACGTTGTGAGAGGCGGATCACGACTACTTCAGAGAACCCACCACAATAGGAACTACCAGTGACGTAAGTGTACGCTGAAATAAAAAGTCTTTCCTGTCCTGTCAGCCTTTACTGCGCTAGTAGAGCGCACTCTTCAATTGCACACGAATATTCGGTTTTGGCCGAAACTGTTTTGGAGGTGCAAAATCAGGTAACGCTTCCTTTTACAGTCCTGTTACCCATGTACATACTATGTACTTATTATAGTAATTACAATTACTGGGTAATAACTAGGTACTAACTAGGGCTGGGCGATAAAACGATAACGATATGTATCGCGATAGACACGTGATCGATATCAATAAAAAATGTGTTCGATAAAACGTTCGATATTTTTTTTCTTCGTCGGAAGAAACCACAGGTTGCGAAGCAAGTTTGGTTGCATTAACAAAGGCACTCGCTCTCTGGTAACCTAGCAACGTAGGGAGTGACACGCTCAGGCAATCATGTGTCAGTTTGGTTGCGCCATCGTTGTCTCGTGCTGCTGGGTTCCTCTTCAGTAACAGGCGATTGATAAGCAGAAAATGAGTGCCCTCATCTGCATGCCATGCAGGCTAGAATTGCGAAACATTATTGGATAATTCGCTCTATTCGCGGTTGATGTGAACACAGCATAATGAACAGGCTGCGATGTCAAGATTGCAATGCTGGAGTGTGTGTGTGTGTGTGTGTGTGTGCGCGAGAGAGAGAGAGTAGGCACGGGCGCGAGAGAGAGAGACACGCGGGCGCGATCGAACAGTGGAGACATAAAAACATACTCCGTCATTTTGTTAATACAGGACATCATTCAGTCTGCAAAGTGTTTACTTATATTTGTGTAGGCCTATACTCGCAATAAAACACAACATTGTGCTTTTGTCACACTGTATTTCTTGTCAAACTGTAACCTACAACTGTCACACACCGTTTTAAAAGCAAAACATATTTATCCAACCCCTTTGTAAAACAGTCTGTGTGTTCCATCTTTTGGACATTCATCATATCGCATTGGTTTTCATTTCTTGTCCTCAAAACAGAGCACTAATCTGTTTATTTTTAAGTTACACATTGATCAAAAAAGAAAATGAAATGTGTTGGTAGTATTATTTTATACGGAAATCAATTATTTATAATTCTGATGAGAATAAAGTTAGGGTTAATTAAAATTAAGGACAACAAATATATTGATCTGAAATATAGCAAATTAATTTTAAATTCATTCAGGTACAATTACCAAACATATCTCATATCGATCTTTTTATTAGTTTAATTAATGAACCAATTATATAAAACTATTATCAGTGCACTATAAATAAACTGGTTCTATGCCTTTATTAATAAACCTTATTTAAAAAATACAAGGCTTAAGACATTTATAAAAATGCCTTCTATATTTCTGTTTTGCTTTTCACTCCATTGTACCGAACTGTGATGTCTCAAAAAAAAAAAAATCAAGCAGGGGGCACGTACGATCAGGTTTGAGAGTTTGCAGGTCTGTTTGTGAATTTAGACTTATGTTTACATTTTAATTATTTGAGTTTTCCATGGTTGTGTTGACATTTCTGTCTTGGGATTGTAATCAGAGGAAGGTTAAGTTTAAAATAAAAATGTTTAAATGTAATATATATTTTTCTCCTGGTCCTTATTTTAAATGGGTCATAAAAAAATCAATAATTATCGATATCGACCGATATGAAACACTGATATCGTGATACAGTTTTCAGCCATATCGCCCAGCCCTAGTACTAACCCTGAACCTACCCCTAACCCATGTACTTACCTTATATTAGCCAGTACTTTCTAGGTAAGTACACTGTAAGTACACGTAAGTACTGTACTGTAAAAGGAAGTGTTACCCAAAATCATTGACCAAAACGCTGAATTAGTGCTTTTGTGCACATAACGTGGATAAGCTACAACTAGTAAACATGTCAGCTGTGTGAATGCGAGGGTGTGAATGCTATTTCATCGATGCACTATATTATATATTCGGTAACAATTTACAATAAGTTCTCATTTGTTAACATTAGTCAATGTATTAACTACCATGAACTTATAACGAGCAATACATTTGTTACAGTATTTATTAAACTTTGTTAAAGCAGCACTAGGTAACTTTTCAACCTTCATAATATATTTCCAAGTCTCTTGTGATGGTACATCGACTTACAATAGGTTGAATGACACGTCTGCCATAGCCTGACGGGGTCTGTAGCGTTTTTAATCGTACTTTTAAACTTCGGGTTTCGGGTAGTAACCGGCGAACAAAGAGAACTACAAAATTCGACTGCTTTACGGCATATACGTCACTTCCACCACCACCCCCACTTCCTTAAAATCGGACGTGCGAGCCAAATGTTATAGTCATGGCCGAAGCAGCACAGAAAAACAAGAAAGCAAAGGTTTTATCGGAGCAAAGCAAAAAGAGAAAAAGAGAAAGTGATCGGGTTAAAGGCAGAACGAGGATCAACATTGGGCCAGCATTTTCTCGCTGGCATGAGCTGAAGGAGGAGGAGGGGTGCCCGACCGATGCGGACTTGGCAAAAAAAATCAAAAATCAGATGAAAGCCTGTGTCTAAACGGCGTGCACACGTTTGGTAGGGGCTACATTCTTGCAAGTAAATATATAAGATGTACAAAATCATATTTTAGGATACCTAACATGTCTGTGATATTTGTTTATTTGTCTTGCCTCAAGCTATAATGCAAATCGATTTGTAAAATTTGCAGATTCATTTATGGTTGCTTGATATTATAATATTGACGATATATGGTTATTATCAACCACTCAAACATTGCATTGAAGTATCATATAGATTCAGTAAAACGGTAACCAATAGACTAGGCTACTATAATGACGCTGGCTTGTAAACGTGATCATCGCGATCATTTGTCGTTAGAAAAAAATAAAACCCATGAAATTATATTCATATGACATGCTGAAATATATGCCACTGTACCTGGGATGAAGACATTTCACACGCGACGCAAGCAGAACACCTGCATGTGACCTCCTCCTACAGTGTTCAGGGCTATCATGGTTGTCAACAATTGCACGTGCACGTAGGATGACAGAGTTTACGACAGTAGTAGAGGTCTAGAGGACAATACTGTTTCCCAACTGTAGGGGGACCCCACCCCGAGAGCAAAAGTTCCCTGGTGTTACTTTAATGTTAGTTAATAAAAATGCAGTCGTTCATTTTTTTAGCTAATGTTAATAAATGCAACTTTTGATTTTAATAATGTATGAGTAAATGTGGAAATTAACATCAACTAAGATTAATAAATGCTGTAGATGTATTGTTCATTCTTAGTAGATCCTCATGTTAACTAAAGTAGTTAACTATAATTTAAACTGGCATTCCACCAGCAGAGGGAGTCGCGTCTCTTAACTAGTGAATCAATACTAGATTCAAGCTCCTAGTGCTTGTGTTCTTAACGTCATCCTTTTAAACCATCCAACTATACATACAAACATTACATAATAATAATAATAATAATTTGCGGATCTACCGGGATCACCCTAAGAAAAATAATTTCCACCCTAGAATTATCCCAGTACTAAATATAAATGAAAGCAGTGTTTCCTGTACTGCTTTTCTGCAACGGCGCTTCGATGTGATGACATTTAAAAAGTGTACATGTCTTTCTAAAGGTTGTCCTTGTGTGTTGCACTTAGTGTAGTCAGCTTGATGAACAAATGACTCCTATGAACTAGTTCTTGGTGACTCAAAAACACACAGCACAACAAGTGTAGCCTGTTTTTGTTTCTCCATTTCCATTCAGAGGTCCTCTGAGAAAGATATGTCTGGGTTTGCGTATTGTTTGGCGAGCCAATTCTCCAACTGCCCGCTCCACTTTCATCATGTATAATAGACCATTTTGCCACCCGACGAAAAAATAAAAATGAAATCAATAAGAAAATCCCGACCAGCAGATGATTACTTTGTGGTAATGCAGCTGTTTCGCATATTCATGGAAACGAATGTGAACGTCAGGCCATAAATCCACAGGAACTATGCATGGACGCTTGCTTTTGTGTTGCCACCCCTCATAGTACTAATGCCATCCTATAAAATAATTTAATAATAATTCCTAGATCCGCCCCTGGTCCAGTTACAGTGATTTGACAGTTTTTCCTGATCCTCTTGACTCTCAATATTTTCAATGAGGAGTTGGGAATCACAGGCTTGCACTGGCTGACTGAAAAGGTCTTATTCTAAGTCCCTTATCCTGTAGGGGATAATGAGCAAAAGTGCAAGCAGTTTAGCCCATCAGGATAAAATGCTCAGCCTGAGCGTTAACTCACGAGTCAGGACCGGTGGATTAAGGTGAGGTGTCATGTCATCGGCCGTCCAGCGCTGCAGGAGCACATCAGTTCGCTGTAGGGGGTCTTGACCTAACTTGACTGTGTGAGATCATAGAGTTTAGAAGGTACCCATCATCATCCATCGTCATTATTATTAAACATTATCTACTTCCAAAAGAACTACTACCGGTCCTACTCGCGCTAACCATAGATATATACACTAGATGTCGCCTTGGGGTTCTAAGCATGCGTCAAAACTGCCGCCATCTTGGAACAGGGGTCTTGTCATAAGAAGGAGCTAGGTAAGGCTGCTATCTCCGCCTGTACTTCGAATTCATGGATTTTCGGACTTTTGTGCTGCGTATGGATGTTCACACAAACGAAATCTGAACAAGGAAGAATGTTTTTAAAAAATATATAATTTTTTTTATTTTCTCTGGACTCAATGATAAATACATGTGACCATTGGAACGAACAAAAAAAAAACTTAGAAAATCGCATTCATGACGATTTATGGTGATTTTATTTCCGCTAGACCTTTGCCTACATTGACGCTTATGCATTAAAGAGGAGGAGCTCCCCTGTTCCATGATGGCGGCTCTATTGACGCATTCGTTCCAATGAACTGCCGTAGCCAAGGCGACATCTAGTGTATATATAATCGTTAATTTACTTGTAAACATGTTCCCATTGCCATGTATTTTGTTCTAATGTCACAAGTAGTAATCTCAAGGTTTACTGTGTTTTTTGGGGAGGAGCGTGCGCAGTCTAAACAAGGCTTGAGGTTTACATGCGCAGCTCTTACTGGCTTACGTCCGTTACATCAGCCACAACTTCAGTGTTTGAGGGCGGGACAAAGTAGACGTTGTTCGCAGGCAGCCAATGAAGACCATAGACTGGAATACACTGGAATTGCTGACGACTCGTTTCAGGCAGTTCAGAATCGATTCTTTCTTTTAGGAGACAATAACTTTATTTGTAATGCACTTTGAGCTTTGCAGACCTTTTACATTCTTAAAAACGTACGTGAAAGGTAATGTTCAAAAAAGCATAATAGGGCACTTTAAAGTAATTACTTAACATTACTTACCGAAAAAAAAGGAAAACGTTATTAACTGGTTAAAAAACATTTTCACTCTGCAACAATAGACCTTAGTCAGGGTAGCAGCATAGTTCATTTTTGTCAGGAATGAAAGTGAGATGGCGAGAGAAAGAAATACAGTGTTTTCAATTGAATGTACTGTTTGCAACAAAATGCCAATTGTTCATCTTTAATCTCAGTAGACAAAAATAAAACAAACATTTTAAGTAACATGTGATCTAGGATCTTTCATGCCATTATAAAAACACCTATCCCTCACCGGTTTGATATTCACTGTGGTGTCACCCTAACCAAGATCCGTGCAAACATTTTTATAACCTTTTGTTATATATTGCATTCTGCAAATATATATTTTTTACAGTTTTTGTTTTTAGTGCTTAACCTTTTCTAATCCCTGGTTTTTGGTCATTGCATGTAAAGAATATGTACATGCATAGTTACATGTACAAGAAGCTGTATGCCTCTGTACGATGACAAATCTTCAGAGTTTTCATTTAAACTCATTTCTTAGATTTTTATTTATTAGATTTTATTGAAATACACTTTGGACAAAGACCTTCAGGAAAGTTCCTGGTCCACTTTATTCCATTTTTGCATTTTTTTATTTATTTAATGAATTATTAGAGGACAGAAAATCAACAGGTCATAGAATAAAGGAGCAATGAAGGGAGATGGCTGTGACATTCAGAGCGAGTGTGCGGTGGATGAACTCTGGCCTGTTTTCACGGCTCAGGTCTGGCTCAGTGTGCGGAGCTGTGCTGGCAGCTGAGGGGGGAGGCGGGGCCTCGGCAGGTCCCCGGGGCAAAGGTCGCCCTGCAGCACAACATCGGTCTTGGTGGAGCGGTGGTGGTCACTCTCTACAGGATGGGCTTCCCTCAAGAAACAAGGTATGTTTAAAACTAATACGTCTTTTAACAAGCATTGAGTATCCGGCCCAGATATAGCCAGCTCACCCATATGATATATACATTCAAAATTCTGTTTTTCTAATTACTTTCCAAAATCCCAAATTATATGTGTATTTATGGACCACTATTTAAAAATGTTGGGTTTGATAAGATTTTTAAATGTTTATGAATGAAGTCTCTAGGCTGCATTTATTGTATCAAAAATACAGTAAAACTGTTATATTGTCAAATATTATTACAATTAAAAATAATTGTGTTCTATTTTATTTTAAAATGTAATTTATTCCTGTGATGAAAAAGATGAATTTTCGTCAGCCGTTACTCCAGTCTTCAGTGTCTTCACTTCAATATGCTCATTTGATGTTTAAGTAACATTTCTTTTTATTATTAATGTTGAAAACTGTTCAAGCATGATATATTAGTTTTCAGAATACTTTAATGATTTAGTAAGTAATGATTCTATAATTGAATGAAAACAGCATTTATTTGAAACAGAAATATTTAGTAAAATCTTAAATGTTTTTACTGTCACTTTTGACCAATTTAATGCATCCTTGCTGAATAAAAGTTTTTTTTTTTTTTTTTTTTTTTTTTTTTATAAACAGTCTTACTAACCCATGGTAGTGTACATTTCATTAAGAATTTAATTTATTAATTTGAATATATATATATATATATATATATATATATATATCTTTGATTTATACAAACCTTTGGTTGCAAAATATCAATGTTTGTTGAAGTTTATCCATTATCATGTATTCATGGTCTTTAATTATATAGGAAAATTTACAGCAAAAAAAAAATTCAACAGTTCAATTAGCTTTTGAAGGTCTAGGCTTGTACGATTCAGCTCTATTGCATGTTTGTTTAAGCATACAGAAGGTGGGTACAAAATCCAAGGTACAAAAGATTATATTTCTCCTACATGAGTACATATGAGTCTATATGATTATATATGTGAAGTTTTCAGTTATTACAGTATCCAAGAAGTGATTTTTACTCTCTCCATGTAATATTGTCAAATATTACACTTTGTTAAATGCTGTAGTTCTTTTATATACATTAGAACTAGACTTTTGGACTTGGTGCACACCATATACCAGCAGTGATGATGAACTTGCGATGTAAACTTCCCCAGCTCTCGGATCGCTGCAGTGCCCACCAGCGCGTCCAGTGACCTCAAAGGCTTCAAAGCTCACACCGTCTTTCAGGAGATCGAGAAGAAGCTACAGGAGGTAATTCATCAGGAATGGAGATCTCACACATTATACCATGCAAATAAGACTTTAAATGAAATTGTTAAATTGTTGTAGAAATAATTTGTACAAGTGTAAGATTAAAAATAGTACAGTAACACTGTAAGTGAAGTCACTTACAGTGTTACTGTACTATTTTCAATCTTACACTGGTACAAATTATTTCTACAACAATTTAACAATTTCATTTAAAAAGTCATTTGAGCTAGGAATATTATTCTTTCCAGAAAAAGAGCCACAAGGCATTGTTCATTCTTGTCTATCTGCGTGTGTCATTTTATTTTGTCAAGAATATTTATATTGCAATTTCAGTTATTTTTGTGACATTGTTATTTAGCTTGATTCATGAGTTGTTTGTTAACAGCCAATTTCTGACATTATTTTCAATTTGCTTTAATAGTGAGAAAATACTCCAATTTGCTACAGAATTATTCAATGATGCCATTATTTTTAACAGGAGGGTGAGGCGTTTGTAAAGAAAATCGGAGGGGTTTTTGCCTTCAAAGTGAAGGATGGTCCTGGTGGAAGTGAAGCATTATGGGTTGTGGACGTAAAAAATGGCAAAGGCTCGGTGACCAACGATGCAGGTGTGTTCAGATTTTTTTCTCCACCTCATTGTGTATTGATGTACTATCAGAAAATGCATTTTATATAAAAAACCTACATAGTGAAAGCATATTATTTCAAATTTCTATAAAAACAAACTTTAAAAGTTTAGGGTCAGGACGATTTTTTATTGATTTATTTAGCAAGGACGGATTAAATTGATCACGAGTGAGTGAAGGGATGTAATTTTACCAAAGATTTCTTATAAAAAAATAAATGCTGTTCTTTTCGACTTTCCAATTATCAAAGTTGTGCATCACAGTTTTCGCAAAAATAACTGTTTTCAACAAATACGTGTTTCTTGAGCAGCAAATCATCATATCAGAATGATTTCTGAAGGATCATTTGACACTGAAGACTGGAGAAATGATGCTGAAAATTCAGCTTTGCATCACAGGAATAAATTATGGTCTTAAATATATTACAATAGAAAACAGTTATTTTAGATTTTAATAATATTTCATGTTTTTACTGTATTTTTTTGATCAAATAAACGTAGCCTTGGCGAGCAGAAGAGACTTCTTTCAAAAACGTAAAGAAATCTTACCGATCATCACAAACTATTAAATGGGCTAGACATCTTAGTTAGGACAGAAGCAGCTAAAAATGTATATATATTATAGTAAATAATCTTTTTCTTTACCAGGGTACCCGCGGGTCTTAAAAGCCTTGAAAAAGTCTTGAATTTGATAATCTCAAATTAAGGCCTTAAAAGCCTTGAATTTAGTATACAAAGTCTTGGATTTCGTTACAAAGGTCTTATATATTTTTTTTCCTTTGCTAGGATTAAGTTCATACCGTAACAAAATTAACTGTTCTGTTACTAATGTAGGCTAATTCAAAATGTATGCAGCGTTGAGTGCACCTCGCGCTCCACGTCATAGCAGAAAAAGCGAAAGCGTGCGCACCGTTACTATGGTTACTAGGCAAGTGAGGTACATAACAAGATAGCCTAGTTTAATCCGCTGTGGCCACAAATGACAGAATTTAAACCCCAAATAAGAGCTTTTCTGTTAAAAGAACATATTTTCTACCCGGTCTTTTCAATAGTATCTGGCAACCATGCGCGCGCGTTCTCTCTACACTGCTGAAGAAGCGCGGATGATCTGAAAACACAGACAAGCTGGAGTTCAGCGATCTTTATTTAAGATTTTCTACTTAAATTCAAGTGTCATTCAGTCGGTCTGTGTTCTGTCACGAGCCGCTTGCGCTGTTTGTAAGACTAAATCTGCGATCAAAATGCAGGCTGATATATCCACCAGTGTTCATAAGAGCAAGAATGCAATGTTTCCCGAATATCCACACGATTTCAAACGTGACATTGATTTTATACAACAGTAAAAAAGAAAAGAAAAAAGGGTAACATTAAGTGATGTACTACATTTAAAACAGCATTGTCAGGCTTGCTCTGTTTTGCAACGAAATATGTGGCTTTGAACGAATCGTGAGATTCAATGAATGAATGACTCAAAGACTCACTCATAAAGATAGTGAGAATACTGCCACCTACTGGCGATTTTAATGTTTTTTAACATTGCAAATTTAATGAACATTGTTTTATTTAAAGCATTATTTCTTTTTTTCTTTTTAAGGTATTACAAAGGTAAAAAAATGAAATGTAAAAATGTATTAAAGGGGGCAAATCTTGTCCCTTAATAGAAAAGGTGTGACTGCACCAGGGGGTACGGCACTCTAAAACATTGGAGAACCAAATTATGTAGAACTGCACAAGTGCTACTGCTAAAGAGTGCAATGTCAATAATTTCTCATAAGCTTAATTGAATTGGCCTAGAGAGAATAATTATTATTACATTTTCTGTCTAAAGACTACATGGCTATAAAATAACTACCAAAAGTAAAGTAACTGCAGTTTGAATAAAAGTTGACAAAAAATGCAAAGACTTTTCGTCAACGACAACTATAAAAAACAGGATGACTCAAATGTGATTAAGACCAATAAGCATTTCCGTAAATCAAAAATGGCTGCCAAAATTAACACTGGCCTACATACACGTGCGCGCTACAATGCTGTTGCGTATGTATCCTGATAATAATATGGACATAATATGACTGATAATTTAAGTAAAATGTTTTATTTAATTCAAGTAGCCTCCTTGTACATAATTAGTTTCTAGGGTTTAAAATGTATACAGATTTGATATTTTCCCCTCATACTTCTGTCGGAATGGGTACGAAGTTGGCATTGAATTTCATTTGAAATGGTATTAAAAAGGTCTTAAAAAGCCTTGAATTTAAGTTGGAGGATCCTGGGGGTACCCTGTTTACACACCAAGCAGTCATTTGATAGATTGAACTCTAAATTGAGTGTCTCCAAGAGCTCTTCTTTTACAAACAGTCTGATGATTCTCTGTTTACTTTCCACACAGGTAAGAAGGCTGACTGCACCATCTCTATGGCCGACTCAGATATGCTTGAATTGATGACGGGGCAAATGAATCCACAAACGGTACGTTTTAATGATGGTTTATTCTTAGTGGTCTGTTGAAATCTTGTGCTTTTATTCTTTCATTAAGAAAAAGAACATTGGATCTGTTCTGATAAGCTGCTGTGTGGTCAGTTGGTCAGTGTAGTTTAAGGGCTAAATAAGGTTTGTGAGCGTCTTGGGACAGAGCCAGCGTTTCCAGGATTAGTCCCTCTTAAACCTTGTCCCATGACCCACAGACACACTGACCATTCGCCTGGCCCGCTAATTCAGCCTTCTCAATGCAAGTATCTTACAAAATACGGCCAACACAACATTTATAATCTGTTAGGCCTGCATCAATATTGACAATTTACGTCTAAATTATCTGACTTGTGTCTAAATTATCCAAAAGCCAAATAAATCCCATAGACCTACATTTAAGGATGAACCCAAACCATATCTAGAGATCAGAACGTCATATCTTGGGGGTGTTTTTTTTCTTTATTCACTTAGATTCCGATTCACAAGCTCTCGATTCAATTTTATTCAGATTCCTTTGGTCATCATGTCCATTTTGCTTCAATTTGAAAGATATTCTCTGTCAACTAATGCTGTAAATTATAGTTAAACCTTGGAACATTTTGAAAATATTTTTTTATAATAATTTGTTCGTGAATCAGACTACCGGTACTTTGATTGCGCTGTATGTTTTTGATTCATTAAAAGAACCGGTTCATAAGAGTCATTTGTTCATGAATCAGGCTACTCAATGTATGTTTTTGATTTGTTAAAAATAACTGATTTATAAGAGTCATTTCATTGTAAATCAGACTACACTGATCACTTTTTTTTGTTTTGATTTGTTAAAAATAACTGGAATCATAAGAGTCATTTGTTCGTGAATCGGATTGCGCTGTATGTTTTTGTATGCATCAAAGGGTATTTTCTTGCCAATATTTTTGCGGTGTGCTTTTTTTAAAGCTTATGTTAAATTTGGCCTCCAAACTTAAAATATGACATACAATTTGGCTGTGGGGTTGTAAATTCAGCATCCACTGCTGAGAAGTGGTGCAAGAAACACTAGCATATAGAGTGGAATATCATTGATATCCTTCAAATGATCATGAATAAAGAGAAAATCAATATCTTTATCCAGTCATAGAAAAGTTAAAAATCTAGTTTTAAAACCTGTCCAATGTTCATTTTGAATCAAAAGTTGTGTCTTTGCACCATAATGTAGCCTTTCTGATTAGTCTGATGTCAGAGATGACCTTTAACCTGTAACGTGCAGTCCATAAAAGTTAACTAATCTCTATGGAAAAAGATTAACATGGAGTCACTTTGACATTGAATTGACCTGGCTTTAGCTATCATGACATGCATACAGTATTATGTTGCAGATTTATTCAAAAAGTCCTATTGCCTGTTTAAACATCTCTTTTGACATAATCATACACAATAAAATACCCAAAGCCTCCTGACACAGAATGTTGACTTTTACGCAATTCCAAATTAGGCTAATGGCGTCTAATGTTTCCTCCGCATGGAAAATAGATTGTTTTCATAAGTCCTTTGAAATGTTTGTACCCTGTGATTCACACCCATCTGTGTTGACCCAACCTCTATCATGTCTGTCCATCTGTGGAACTGCATCAGGCATCAGATGGTTTGACTGAAGCTTCATCTGAAAATTAGCCACTCTTTTTACAGTAATCCTGCATAAAGGGAATCGTTTTCAGTTTAATCCGGAGCTCAAATCCATGGAGAAACGGTCAAACGTAGAAAAAGTCAGATGAAACGTTGGGGGAGCAGTGATAAAATAAAACTTATTTTTTATCCTTCATTTTTGTTATAATGAGAAAATATTGTTTTGTAATATATTATTTAAAATTATTCTATGTATATATAGTGTATATAAATGAAACATTGGAAAGTGTTACTGTTTTTTTTTTTTTGTTTTTTTTTTTTTATATCTATAGTTTTTATTTTATTTCAATTTTAGTTTTAGTTGACAAATGAAAATGCCAAATGTTGCACTGAGCACTAGCGGACTAACTATGGCTCTGTTACACCTGGTATTAAGATGCGTTTTGGCCGATCGGATCACAATTGGAGGACAGGTGTAAACGGGGTCTAAACCGTTTTGAGCTTGTCCACTTCGACCACTTCCAGAGATAGTTGAAAACACACTCGACCGGATTGCTTTCGTAGTGTAGACGCTCATGTGGACGAATGCGTTCGAACAGCCACAAAAGCCCATCTCCTCTCCATCTACTGACTTATTGCGTAACCATTATGGGAAGCGCGCCAAACAAACGGGATATACAATTTGTCGGCTGAAGACCCAAGTTTGGTTTGAAGATGAAAAACGTACCAAGCAATGTTCTCTCGCTATTCCTGATTTCTAACACGCACTCCGTATGTTTTTACATTGCCTCGTTCGTGTTCATTCGTCCATTAGATCAGAAGATCTGGGGAAAAAAAACCTTTTCACATCCATAGACCCCCTTCTTTTGAATCAGGACAGAAGTGGTTGAAAGTGGACAGAGACGGTGTAAACGGGAATGTGTCTCCCTCGTCTACCTATGAACCGATCGACTAAAATGCATCAGAATACCAGATGTAAACAGGGTCTATAAGTAACTTTGCACCTCCATGTCAACTGCTAGTCATTAGAGTATTAGTAGACTGTCTGCTTAACATCTGCTAACTCTTTATTGTGATGATTCCCCAACAGACATTCTATTGACTAAGTAACTTTGCAACTACATGTCAACTTATTCTACTAACCCGAACCCTAGCAGTCTAATACTCTAATGAGAGTCAGTTGACATGTAGTTGCAAAGTTACTTAGTCAATAGAGTGTCTGTTGGGGAATCATCACAATAAAGTGTTAGCAGATGTTAAGCAGACAGTCTACTAATGTGTCTAAAGTGGACAATCGAAATTAAGTGTAACCTTTATTTTAAGTTAATGTTTATTTCATGTAACAAAAATGTTTTGGTTGTAATGGTTTTAGTAGTACAGTAACCCTTATTTGTAAAGCCCTAATTTGTTAATCTTGTACTCTTATTTAAAGGCATTTTTCCAAGGAAAACTAAAGATAACTGGAAATATGGGAATGGCCATGAAACTTCAAAACCTTCAGCTGACAGCTGGAAAAGCCAAACTGTGAAATCACGTCTCTTGAACAGGAAAGTGGCACAAATTCATCCAAATGTGTGGAGAGGTGCTTGAATAGTTAATTTCGAAAAAATAATTGTTTTTTCTGTAATGTTCTACTATAACAATGTTGTTGGTCATTGCATAAACGTAACTGCAATAAAGCATACTGTATTTTAGTAACGTATCTGAAAGACACAAGGATGAAGATAATGTTGCTGTTAATAACTGTTGTAAATCATAATAATCTTTGGCAACCACAAGAGTGATAAAAGTACAACTTTCCCCCTGAATCTTATAGCATCGCTGGCTTGGTAATGTGCATCTAATTGACTAATATCAGTTTAATAGGTGGAATTCTGCAAAGACTTATTTGGGACCTTCATATCTACTTTGTAGTGTCAATTCAGTTAACATACAAGTAGAGAGTAACAGACCTTGATACTTCAAAGGTATATTGGGTATATTATCAATTTTAAAGCATTTTGTATAATTGTATATTAATCAAGTTTGTAAAAAGACACATTTCTAATAAATATTCAATTTACTTCAAAACATGCTGTCATTTTCCTATAATGTTTATAATATACAATAATGTAATGCAATACAGGTCCATCCATTAACTATCTATCGCTGCATTGATCGAGTAATAGCTTTTCATCGTCACTTGCCACAACTAAAACGACGTGGCCAATTTCATTCATCCAGGTCATTCTTGAATGGCAAGCAGTGTTCATTTGCTTGTGCACTTTATTTTCCATAAGTTGAAGAAGATTAATTACTCACCTGCTGAACTGTTTTCTCAAAACAGTTTGACCTACAACTGCTTGCCTAAAACTTTGACCCCCTTATGGATTCATCCTTCATCTGCAAATGGCATGAGATGTGGGCTACCGTTAGCGTGTTTATTTCTACATTACAGTCATGACTGCATCAAATCTACCCTCTGTTCTCAAAGAAACGCTTATTAGCAAACCGCACTGGCCGTACACAACATAACCAGCATTTGTTTAGAAGGAACAATAGGTGTTTTTCCCCTTTTCCTCTGGTTTTGTCACTTCTTCACCCACGACTTTGAAGATGTAATTGGAAATTTGTTCATTTCAAAGTATGTGGATGGTAATAGGTCTACTATTCTGTTCTTAACCCTTTAAGTGTCACCCCCGTTTTTTTGAATATACATGAAAATGCACATTTCGAACTTAAATGGTTGTAATTCAAGAATGCTTTGGAATATAGACGTAAGATTGGTCTCGTTTTAAAGAAGACATTTGGCAGATTTTTGTAGAAGTGAAATAAATTAAGAAAGTGAAACAGAAAAAAAGTTATAGAAGTTTGAGTTTATGAAAATGTACAATGTAAAAAATATTATTATTCATATTTTATATAAAATATATATTTTCAAAACCTGGGCAACTCTAAAACTGCAAAAAAAAAATCAAAGCCAAAAATCTGAACAAATTGTGTTTCAAATTTTAGGTTGATATCTGAAAAAATGAGCTTTCAGTAAGATTTTGTTTGGGCGCAGTACCAAACTTTTTCACTAGGTCACAACCAGACTCCATTACTGCCCATATAAGGGCGCCTCCATTTCCAAATGTGTTTTGAGTGATTTGAACCATTATTTCCACAATTTTCATACAATTTATGAAGTAGACATCCTATTCAGAAGTAATATGAGAAGTTTGGCAGATTTTGATATGAATTCAACCTCTAAGAAACATAAAAAGAACGCGCATGTGCGTTTTAGCTTCCTGCCACATCACAAATGGTGAATCTATAATTTCTTTCTTTATATTTAAAAAAATTCAGACCTTTTTTTCTAAAATAATTGGATGGATGCTATCTTTTGAACTCTTGGCATGAAAACAAACTGAGGTTTCTACCCTTCTTTCATGATTTTTCATGTTCAGCACTATTTCAAAATAAAGGTCTAAACACGCCTTAGGAGTATGAAAATATTCTTGTTGCAAATTGATAAATTACGGCTCCTCTGTAATTTATTTTGAAAATCAATCACCAAATATGGAAACTAGAGATAGTAAGCTTTCAAATGATATTTAGTTTGTCAAGATTGGTTTAGGTTTAGTATAGGATATTATTGTTTTAAAAATGTAATGGATTTGGGCCCACCGGTGGGCCGGTGCCCAAGTAAAGCGGATTAGTAAAGCTCATCAGTAGAACGAACACAGTCTGAGTCTCCGAACATGAAAATCTCCATGGTAGAACAAGAAGCTTTCACTTTTTTTGCAGAATACCCATTACCCAGTTTGTGAGTCCTGCAATGCACCCGCCCAATGGCAGCTCTGTTTCCTGCAGGGCTTCAGCTTGTCCATGTGGCCACACAAACCTCTCTCCCTCCACCTTCTGCTCATCTCTGCAATCGTTCCTAATTACACATCCACATGTTCCTAATTACACATCCACAACCAGTTAATCAACCAGTGATTAACTGGTTGTAGATCATTTCCTCCTGTTGGGCTACTACTTTCTATTCTGAACAATTTTCATGCAGGAAAGTATTGGTGAATTTTAGTAACTTTTATGCTCCATTTCCTAAAATGTAACCCACTGGATATGTGCATCTAGATGACCGTCTCGTCTTTGAACACTATGGAATGAGAAGACATGCATTGCTTTCATCAGGCGTACCGAGTGAGTCATGAGTTTATGGAGTTTCATTTAAATCACATTTAATACATTTGACATTTTCCATACAAAGAATCTATACAAGTTCTGTAAGGCTTTGGGAATGTGTGGCATGTACGACGTGTCAGTCCATAAATCCCACTTCTGACAAATTTCAGAGAGGTTTGCAAAGGAAGTCCTTCCCCCTTGTTCCTCTCTTGGTTTCATTTTGTTATATTTATAAATTATTTATTCCTGTGATGGCAAAGCTACATTTTCAGTGTCAGATGATTTGCTGCTCAAGAAACATTTCTTAACAACTTTTCTTACCATTATCAATGTTGAAAACAGTTGTGCTGTGTAATATTTTTGAGGAAATGGTAAGTACATATTTTTCAGGTTTCTTTGATGGTGAAATAGAAATATTTTGTAACATTATAAATGCACTGCCACTTTAATGTATCAATTTAATGCATCCTTGCTGAATGAAAGTATCAATTTATTTTTAAAATCTTACTGTCTTTTTGAAACGGTAGTGTAAATTGCAAACCTCGCTCATTTGCAGTATCCCCAAAAATATTTGGACACTTAATTCACATGGAAATTGTATAGATAATCAATAAATGTCATCGCATTAGATAACAAAATATCAAACCAAATGATGCTATTGCATTTCTTACTAGCTTATAAACATCTTCTCTGAACTAACTTTTAACCAACTGGTTTTTTTTAAATGATTTTTAGACATTTGTAAATGTATTTCGAAATACATTTAATAAAGGTTAAGCCCTATATAAGATAATAATGTTTAGTTATTAAACTTTTCTCTTTTTTCAGGGGGGTTCTGGGTTGGCTGTAGATCTGGGTGGAGGTAATGGCTGAAAACCTCTGATCTGATGCATTGACATTCTGACGTTCAAATTAAATCAAATACTTTTAGCTAATACAAGTGTCCAAAAACTTCTTGGGGCCACTGTATGTGATCACTGGTGGTTAAATCTTCTTCAGGGGACAGTTTCTTTCTCTCCCTGTTAGTGAAAGAGAAGATTTAAACGGAGAAATATATATATTTTTTAAAAGAATTTAAAAAAAAAAGATGAAAACCGATCTCAGCAGCATATGACGTATAATATAAACGACACATATCCAAGCTGTCCATGAAGAATGTTGTTCTTCTCTCCTCACATGGAAAGAACACAATAACAACACACCGATCTTTCTCCACACGCTTCAACGAGGAGCTCAGCCATCTGGGGGTCAACAGGGTTCAGAAAATCCCCAAAGCAGGTCCAAAGGTTCACGGCCCTGATCGCTTCAGCTTCCCTACATAGACATTTGCACACACGTACTCAAAATCCAAAGGTAGAGAAAGAGAACGGCTGGCATCTTGCACCTCTGTTTTGGTCTCTGACGGAGTCTAGACGTTGGTCTCCAGACCGTTCATGTCAATGGTACAATGTTCTTTGTCTTTATGGTCTCTTTTAGAATGGTGTGGAGACAGGTGAGGGGAGCTCTTGTCGGCTGGCCTGATGCCCTCTTCCAGCAGCACTAGACGGGCCACGTCAGGCGACAGGTGCTCGGGTTTCCTCGTGGGGCCTATAGGAGGGGGCTGGAAGCAGCCGTTTTTCTGATAGGACATCATCTGCTGGATGCTGATCATAGGCTTGGTCTCACAGATGAGAGGAATCTGTAAAGAGAAGACAAAGTCGTCATTTTCTAGCTACTGCTGAGTGAAATTGGCATCAGATGCATTGGGAGGCCCCAGTATACTTCAAGCGAAATCATTTTGAACACATTCAGGTCAAAACGAAATTCGTTTGGAGTTTGTTTTTGGTAATTAGAAACTGTTTGGCAAAGTTTGCTCCAGCTGGTAAACAGCGTTATCATTGGTCCGTCACGATTACGTAATAGATAGTTTGGCCCTTTTCCTGTTCGTTTCGTCGAGGTCAGATGAGTGAAATCATGAATACACTGGAGAGCCTTCGTTATAAAACTTAGTTTTAAGTTGCCAGTCAGTGCCAGCACTTTCATGGCTCCCAGAATATATTGTTGTATTTAAAAGTAAATAGGCCAATATGTCAAAAAAGAAAGCCTCTGCTTTTTAACAACAACAACAGACATTTTATTTTTTATCTAGCTTCATTCATTATTTTTTATCAACACTTAAATGTGCGTAAGTTTCACAATAAAACAACATTTCGAACAAACTTTGACCGGATCGATGATCAAAACATAGATCGAGTGAACACATTAGCTTATTTGTGCATAAACGATTTCTATCAGCTCCTTCTGGGCTGCATCCGAAATCACATACTTCCCTACTATATAGTAGGCAAAAACAAAGTATGTGACAAAAGTAGTATGTCCGCATTCACAGGACTCATAAAAAAGTAGGCAAAAAGTCCCTGGAGGACCTACTACTTCTGGCTAGATTCTGAAGTGTGCATACAATGGACACTTTCTTATCCC